TCGTAACTATGCATCCCTGCACGCAGTAAGGGGCTTCCCAGGGGGCTCTCGTGGTAAAGAACCCACCTGCCAGCCAGCGCAGGAGATGCAAAAGACACGGGTTTGATCCCGAGTCGGTAGTATCCCCTGGAGGAGGGCATGGTGACCCACTCCAGTGTTCTCGCCTGAAGAATCCCGTGGACAGAGGAGCCTGACGGGCTGTGGTCCATAGGGTCGCGAAGAGTCAGACACTACTGAAGTGACTGAGCGTGCACACATGCGGGTAGTCAGGTTAAGCAGAAAATCCACAACAAGCCAAGTTGATCATTACAAAGCGAGGTTAACAGTTTTGTATATAGTTCAAAAACAAGAGTAGCAGGGTCTGGAAACAAAAACCAACCCAGTAGTCCAGATGATAACACGTCCTTCCCCGTAACTGGGCAAGTCCAGGTCCCCAGAGGCGCACATGGAGCCAGAACTTGTCAGTGTTATGTGGGAGCCAGATTTCTGAGGACACTGAACGGGGGGCTTTTGGAGTATTACCTAATTTTAGACAGTGACTCTTATCACTTAGGCAATTGTTAGCAAGTAACCTTAGGTAGTATGTTCACAGGAGGTCCTACATTTGGGGCTACTGCCAGGCAGCAGATAGTCCTGGGGAGGTACGCACCTGTGCTAGGAGAGCTGCGTATATGTGTCCATGGAGCCTGGATACACAGAGGAAGCAGCAAGGGTGAGCACCGGTGAATTAACAGTGGAGATTTAGGGGTAGCTTTGACCATGTGTGGGCTTCACCGGTGGCTCAGATGGTAAAGAATCTGCCTGCAATGCAGGAGACCTGGATTTGATTCCTGGGTCAGGAAGATCCCCTGGAGAAGGGAATGTCAACCCACTCTAGCATTCTTGCCAGAATTCCATGGACAGAGGAGCCTGCCGGGCTACAGTCCATGGGGTCGCAAAGAGACACTACTGAGCGACTGATACTTTCACACTTGACAATGTTTGCTCATCTCTAATTTTCTGGCAATCAACACTGCAATTAAAGTGTTATTAATTAATACTTTAGGTTAATTTTTAAAAGAACTTCATCCAACTCGCAAGGCCCCTACAGTCGAACGGTACAAAGACTGATGTCACCACCTCACAATCCTGTGGGAGCTGAAACAATCACTGAGGGCAAGGAGATGAAACATTTATGAATTAAGACTATTTGCAGTTACTTGAGCTGCTGAGATTAAGTGACAAGCGCAGTTTTTCTTTCAAGGCATACACTGACTGTTCAGGAAACAAATTTCACCTTCCTGCTTCCCCCGTGCATCCTGGGTTCGATTCAAAGCCACGGAGGCAACAGTGATGCAGCTTCCCTGCACAGTATCTGTGATGAGTGCTTTTCTGGATTATTCTTGTGGAAAGGTGAGAGGCCTTGGGATTGTTTAGCTTGAAGGCAAGAAAGCAGAGGTGAGACATAACTCATTTTACTTAAATGAAAAAGAGGAGACACTGGAATTGCTGCAGGAAGAGTTTACTATTTTTAACCTTTTAACATTGTGAAGTACAACACATACATACAGAAAGGTGCATAAATCATCAGTGTATGCCTTAATGAATTATTGGAAAGCCATGTATATAGCCACCACCCAAGTCAAGAACTAGAATATCAGCAGCACCCAGAACATTGCTTTCCAGTCAAAACCTCTCCTTCCTGCCCTAGAGATAACCACCATCCTGTCTTTGATGCAGGGTGTACTATAGTTGTTTTGCCTGGCTTGGGACTTATAAGTGGAACCATGTCATATGTATATGGCTTCTTTCACTGATTATCATGTTTAATGATTAACCACCTTGTTGCATGGGGTTATAGTTCTTTCATAGGCAGATGTCACCATTTATCCATTTTCCTTTTGAAGAACATTTGGGTGGTTTCCGGTTGGGAGCTATTATGAGTAATGCAACTACCAACTTCTTGTATGTGTGTCCTGGCCTAGGAGTGAAATTGCTGAATTGCAGGTTGTGTAGATTCACACCTTTCCCAGGTTTCCTGTAATAACTAGGAGCTGTTCTGCACCCTTGCTCTCACGTGCTCTCATCAGCTGGTTAATGTGCTTATTTGATAATGGACAGTAACTCACTGAGGCTTTGCTTTGCATTTCCTTAATGTGATGAGATAGAGCACTGTCTCTTATGTGTACTGATATTTTTAATTTCCTCTTGTGACATTCCTGTGCCACCGTTTTGCCCATTGTTTTTTCTACAGAGCAGTCTGTTATTCAGTCAATTAACCAGCTCCCTGAAGGGAATGTGGGGAGTTCCCTGCCCCGGGAGAAGACTTTACAGCTCTAAAGGCAGATATATAAGCAAGCAGTTCATAACATTGTGATGATCATGTGAAACATCAGCCTCCCCCACCAGGCTGACTGTTAGCTGAAGGGGCAGGACTCATTTGTCTCATGTCCTTAGTGCTTAACACAGTGTCTGGCATACGTTAGGTGTTTAGAGAAGTCTCTGTTAAATGAATGAAGAATGAGGCATTTTCAGAGGATGGTGAAAGTGCTCTAGTAGGGTTAAGTGTTGCGTAAGAGAGAAGCACCAAATAAGGAACCACGAGTTGCACCCCCTCCCCCACCAAAAGCTGGGCAAAGCTTCCCTTGGAGATAATATTTGAAGCAGATCTGGAAAGACTTCCACCAGAAGCTGTGGAGGAAGTATATTCAAGACTGGACTAGAATGCAGAAAGGCACTGAGAGGGAAGGAACACACTACGCTAGAAATGGGAAGTTGCCGGGGGAGAGGGGCGCTCACACCAGCTGGGTGAATGGAGTGAGAGAAGGTGTGAAAGGGCATCAGCTGGAGACAGTGCTGTGAAGGGACTGCCTTTAAATCTCATAAGCAGTTGTCCACTGAAAAAAAATGCACAACCTAAAAATTGAGCGCTGTGTTTTATTCAGCAGACAAAACTGAGGACTTAAGCCCAGGACACGGCCTGTCAGATAACTCTGAGAGACTGCTCCAGAGATAAGGGAGGTCCCAGGATATATAGGAGTTATTTCAACAAAGACCAGGTAGTCAGAACATCAAGAAATTATTGTTAATTAAAGAAAACTGGATATATCCTGTGTTTTCTCATCCTGAGTTTCCTCCAGAGGCACCATGACATGGAGGAGAGGGCTGCAGAGTTGGATGATTGGATGGTGGGCATTGTTTTTAGCCTGAGTTCCTCAGGGCTCACTATTGGGATAGCTGTAATGTGATGACTTGATAGCTGCAACATCCTTTGCTTAACTGATATAGCAGGCAATATTTTTCATTCACACAGTGGGGATATAACTGAAATATAGAAAAAGAAATTTCTCACAGGTGAGCGGGGAAGAGAGCCGTTGAGCATTATAATTGATCTTTTCCCAGACATCTTGGACAAAATAGAGCAGGTATATAAGCCTGATCATGAAATCAATTGACAACAAAAAATTATCTTTTTGAAAGCCGTCATGTAACATGATTGAGTGTAGAGTAGTAATGAAGAGTGACTTTCTGCAGTCAGACCTGGATTTAGCAGCAGCACGGCCCCAGTGGAGCCTCCATTTCCACATCTGTAATTTGGGAATAATGCCCACCTTGCAGAGCTGTTGTGAAAATTAAGGAGATAAGGTGGGACTTCCCTGGCTGTCCAGTGGTTAAGACTCCCACTTCCACTGCAGGGGCTCGCCAAAAAAAAAAAGGAGATGAGGCATGTAAAGGACTTCACCCTTGCCTGGATGGATGCTGAAAGGTGGGATGGTTTTATGATGTAGATTCTTAAGTCAGTTGCTGATATTATTATCTTGCTACACATGCTGGCTGTTATGTAGTCATGTTGATGCAGCCAAGATCTTGGCTTTGTCTGCTCACTAAAGCCAAATAAAAAATACAGAGTTTGGAGGAAGTAGAAAGGTGGCTTTAATCCTCAGCCAGTGGAAGGGAGAGCACGGTAGGCTTGTTCTTCCAGAACCGTGCCCCGCTTCCAGGAGGAATCTGGATTCCGTGGATGAGGCTCACAGTTAGGGGTCAGGGATGAGGAGCAAAGGTGTAAGGGTCTTGTAGTCTTCCTCTTGCACTGTCATTGGCTGCTGTCTGGTAGCCCAGTTGTTTGGTCCATAGTCTTTCTTGACTTGTACTGTGGCCTCCTTTCTGTAATGCAAAAAAAAAAAAAAAGTGAAGAACTACAAGGAGTGGTCTGTAAAGAGAGTACTAGAAAGGTGAGCACCAAACACAGGATGTGATTAGCATAGAGTTAAAAGATAACAGATGCAGAAGGTAGCTCCTGCAAGGTCTGAGGATTTAGTTTACAAATCAGGTTAGTCTTGGTTATTGACTACAGATCGGAAACAGTTAAAGAACTCAGGGCAAGGGAAAAAAGACCTTTCCTGTTTTTTTTTTTTAAGTGCAACATCAGTTAATATGCTCGAGTATGGGTAAATAGTTCACAGTGAGGACAGTTGGTCACTTGAAGAGCTTTGGGCCCCCCTTCCACTTCAGAGACACGCGGTCACTTTAGAGAGGATCTGGGAGTAAGAAAACGGAGCCCTAGACTCTCCTCCAGCGCTGGGCTTTGCAGGGTGGCTTTGTTCTCAGTTCGCTTTATCCCGTGTATTCCTGAGACAGCCGTGAGGGATTGATGAGCTCGGTATTTTATAGCTGTTTTCCTAAAGAAAGCGTATCTCGCCCAGTTCTCACGCAAGGAAAGGATTAAACTTGTACTCGGAACGAAACCAGACTTTCTTGGGCTCCTTTGCACAAGCCCCGCCCCTCGGCCAAACTTTCCAGAGGGAGGTCCGTTTGAAGAAACGAAAGTGAAATTGAACCGGAGCCATTTCCCAGCCCTGCTCCCGGCTTGAAGCTCCCGGCTCCCTACTCCCGGGGCTTGAGTCGACTCCAGAGGCGCCCCCTGCGTCTGGGAGGCCCACGGCCTGCCCGGGGAAAGGTCCAGCTGCGGAGGGTCGCGCTGCTGGCTGCGGGCAGGCACCGGAACATGCCTGGGGCGCGCCATGGACCCAAGACAGGTAAGCCCCTGGGGTTAGGGCCCAGAGCCGGCGCGCCCGCAACCTGCTGGCCTGGGCTCGTCTTATCCTCCACCCCGCCCCCGCGCCCCGCGTCCCTGTTTCCCTGCTTGACATGTGCGTATTGTGTGAGAGTGTTTTTCTTGCCAAGCAAAATTGTTATTCCCGGAATTCAGAAATTTGTGTCATGCTTATTAACTCTGTGTTGAGTAAGATGTGGAAGAGGATTTATGAGGGAAATGCACCTCCTCCCCCAGAGGACCGAGGCCTGAGCCCAGGTCAAGACAGCCCCCCTCTGCTTTTCTGCTAGGACCCCATGGCGGCTCAGTCCCGCCTTTAGCCACCTCCCGCCACCCCCCCCCCGCCCCCCGCGCCCCCACCTTGGACAATCTGCTCGACTTTGAACGTCTCCTTAACCTGTAGGAGAAAGTTCATAGTGGCTTGATCCATTATCTCTAAAACCTAGAAAACCCTAGTGTCCTTCAACGGGTGATTAAACAAACTGGGATACATCCATATAGTGGAAAACTGCTCAGCCACAAAGGGCAGGAAATACTGCTGTATGCAACAGCATGGACAAATCTCAGATTGGTGATGGTGAGCAAAAGAAGCTGGACTTAAAACACTGCATATGAGTCCATTTAGATGACATTCTGGAAGAAAAACCTACAGGGACAGAAGACAGATCAATTGTTGACAGGAGCTGTGTGTGGAGAAAGAAGCTGTTTACAAAGTGCATAAAAAACGTTTTTGGGAAAGGGAAATGTTCTGTATCTAGATCTCAGTGGTAGTTGAGGGCTGTGTGTGCTTTGACTCTGTATGGTCAAAACTCAGAATTATACACCAAAAAGGGTACATTTTACTGTATGTAAATATACCTTAATTTTAAATACATGTAAAGTATATGTACATGCGTGTGTATGTGTGTGTGCATACATATATGTATACGTGTATGTATGTTTTTCCCCTCTTGAAAAGAATTAGGGACACTTGACTTGTGGGAAAAGCTTTTTTTTATGCAAACCAATATATTACCCTATGGAGCCCATGTGGTAAAGGTGGGGGCTTCTCTCTTAACCTTAAATATGTGAGAATAGGTTAAAGGGAGACTTTGCAGGGCATAAGTGACTTGTCACATAGTTTGTATAGTACATAGGCATGAAGTTGGGTGAGGGGGTATGTTGAAGGATTTAAGAATGATCACCGTCAAGCTTGGTTTCCTCCTTTCTTCCTGCTCTCAGTCCCACTCTGTGACTCTCCACAGGGCTGTTCCCAAGTGATGGTTTGGCTTTTAGGAGATTTTAGAGGGTATAAAGGAAAAATTAATAAGCTCCCTCTAATTTTTCTCTGAAATAACTGTTAACAAATTTGTGTATCCCTTCCTTGTCTCTTTTCTCTGTGTTCTTTCTATCATGCATACACATTCATGGTTTTTTCCCTTTTGTTTATGAAAAAAGGGATTATAGCATACATATTTGTCTGCAGCTTGCTTTCTTTGTTAATTTAACATTATATCATTCCTAAATAGATGACACCTTTTTAAAAAAATTGTGAGTATGGTTCCATAGCCTGAATGTGTCATGATTTGTTCTACTCTTCTTTAAATAGACATTCAAATATTTTACAAGTTTTGGCCAAGAAGCAGCAGTTTAGATCTAGAAAGCATTGAGCTAGAAACTGACTTCAGCCACTTTGAAACAAAGTTCTTTGACCAAGGTCACTCAAAGAGCTAATCAGAAATCCCCTGAAGCCCCCATGATTGAGTCCTGTGAGCCGAGCACTCACTGTGCTCACAAATACTTCAGCCCTGGAGAGGGAGGGGTTGTGTGCAGCAAGAGGAGCAAGAAAAGCAATGATGAGGTGAAAAGGTTGCGTATCTAGCGATGGCTTGTTCATGCAGATGTTGGTTCAGGAGCAGCTTTGTGCCAGGTACTATAACTGAAGTGTATGTAGTCCTTGTTCCCCAGAGGCTTACTCTCAAGTTGACTGCAGCCTCCCCCACATATTACATGGAGACTGTTGAGAGTAGAGACATTAGTATAATTTCTTGGGCACCCACACTACAGTCTGTATGTGACTGAATGTGCCATTAAGAAAATAATCAGTAGCCAAAAAAAAAAAAAAATCAGTAGCTAAGATAAAAGGTAAAGTACATGGTGTAAGAGGTGCGGGGTGGGAGGAGTTCAAGGAGAGGAAACCCTCACAGGCTGGGGTGTGCGGGAGTCAGAAGTCCCCTGCAGAAGGTGGCATCTAGAGAGATGTGTGGGGAAAGGACCCAAGTTGTAACAGGTGAAAGGAGGGGGAGAAGCAGGGGTGTTGCACTGGCATGTAGAGAGAGAGAGGGGAAGATGAGAGGCGCAGTGGCAGCCCATGTGAGAGATAATGAGGGGCTACAACTGGGAAAAGACACATAAGACAAAAGATAGAGGTGGTAGACAAGATAGGACTTTGCAACTACCTGATGAGACGTGGGAGACTGGGGACTAAGGTAGGCAGGCACCAGGGATGACTCAGGTTTCCAGCCTTAATACCTAAGAGGAGAGTGCTGCCATTAACAGGAATAAGAACAACAGGAGGAGGGGCTGGGAGAGGGAAAAGAATTAATATGGTTGAGAATGTGTGTCATTTGAGGTAGTGGTCAAGAATCTAAGTGAACAGATCATCTGAGCATTTGAAAATTCAAGTCTTAAGCTTCAGCACAGGTGGCAGCTGGAGATAACAGATTTGAACACTGTTTCTTAAAAAGACTGGTTAAGGTTAGGGGAGTGGGTGAAATCAACCTGGGGAAGGAAGAAGAGAGGTGTAGACAAAACCTTGGGGACTGATTGTATCTAAGGGGTGAAAGAAAGGATAGGGACAGACAGAAGGAAAAAGAACGATGAGAGATCTTTGGTGCTGTGTAACCAAGCTGTGGGAGGATTTTTTAAAAAGAGAGCTCAATCCACATTAAGTGGGCGTATATTTGTTGTACTGAACTGACCACCAAACAGCCCTGGAAACAAATTAAAGAGAAGGAGTTTATGTGGTCTTATTAGCATGAGGTCCATACCATTTCTGTCCTTTATTGAGCCCATCTTTGCAGGAAATGTTCCCTTGGTATCTCTAATTTTCTTGAAGAGATCTCTAGTCTTTCCCATTCTGTTGTTTTCCTCTATTTCTTTGTACTGATCACTGAGGAAGGCTTTTTTATCTCTCCTTGCTATTCTTTGGAACTCTGCATTCAGATGGGAATATCTTTCCTTTTCTCCTTTGCTTTTCGCTTCTCTTCTTTTCACAGCTATTTGTAAGGCCTCCTCAGACAGCCATTTTGCTTTTTTGCATTTCTTTTCCGTGGGGATGGTCTTAATCCCTGTCTGCTGTACAATGTCACGAACCTTCGTCCATAGTTCATCAGGCACTCTGTCTATCAAATCTAGTCCCTTTAATCTATTTCTCACTTCCACTGTATAATCATAAGGGATTTGATTTAGGTCATACCTGAATGGTCTAGTGGTTTTCCCTACTTTTCTTCAATTTAAGTCTGAATTTGGCAATAAGGAGTTCATGATCTGAGCCACAGTCAGCTCCCAGTCTTGTTTTTGCTGCCTGTATAGAGTTTCTCCATCTTTGGCTGCAAAGAATATAATCAATCTGATTTCGGTGTTGACCATCTGGTGATGTCCATGTGTAGAGTCTTCTCTTGTGTTGTTGGAAGAGGGTGTTTCCTATGACCATTGCATTCTCTTGGTAAAACTCTATTAGCCTTTGCCCTGCTTCATTCTGTGTTCCAAGGCCAAATTTGCCTGTCACTCCAGGTGTTTCCTGACTTCCTACTTTTGCATTCCAGTCCCTTATAATGAAAAGGAGACATCTATTTTGGATGTTAGTTCTAAAAGGTCTTGTAGGTCTTCATAGAAACATTCAACTTCAGCTTCTTCAGCGTTACTGGTTGGGCCATAGGCTTGGATTACAGTGATATTGCCTTGGAAATGAACAGAGATCATTCTGTCATTTCTGAGATTGCCTCCAAGTACTGCATTTCAGACTGTTTTGTTGACCATGATGGCTACTCCATTTCTTCTAAGGGATTCCTGCCCACAGTAGGCAAATTCGGAAAACTCAGCAGTGGCCACAGGACTGGAAAAGGTCAGTTTTCATTCCAGTCCCCAAGAAAAGCAATGCCAAAGAATGCTCGGACTACCACACAATTGCACTCATCTCACATGCTAGTAAAGTAATGCACAAAATTCTCCAAGCCAAGCTTCAGCAATACATGAACCATGAACTTCCAGATGTTCAAGCTGGTTTTAGAAAAGGCAGAGGAACCAGAGATCAAATTGCCAACATCCACTAGATCATCAAAAAAGCAAGAGAGTTGCAGAAAAACATCTATTTCTGCTTTATTGACTATGCCAAAACCTTTGACCGTGTGGATCACAATAAACTGTGGAAAATTCTTAAAGAGATGGGAATACCAGACCACCTGACCTGCCTCTTGAGAAACCTGTATGCAGGTCAGGAAGCAACAGTTAGAACTGGACATGGGCCAACAGACTGGTTCCACGTAGGAAAAGGAGTACGTCAAGGCTGTATATTGTCACCTCACTTATTTAACTTGTATGCAGAGTACATCATGAGAAACGCCAGGCTGGAAGAAGCACAAGCTGGAATCAAATTTGCCGGGAGAAATATCAATAACCTCAGATATGCAGGCGACACCACCCTTATGGCAGAAAGTGAAGAGGAACTAAAAAGCCTCTTGATGAAAGTGAAGGAGGAGAGTGAAAAAGTTGGTTTAAAGCCCAACATTCAGAAAACTAAGATCATGGCATCTGGTACCATCACTTCCTGGGAAATAGATGGGGAAACAGTGGAAACAATGTCAGACTTTATTTTGGGGGGCTCCAGAATCACTGCAGATGGTGATTGCAGCCATGAAATTAAAAGATGCTTACTCCTTGGAAGGAAAGTTATGACCAACGTGTATAGCATATTTAAAAGCAGAGACATTACTTTGTCAACAAAGGTCCGTCTAGTCAAGGCTATGGTTTTTCCAGTGGTCATGTATGGATGTGAGAGTTGGACGGTGAAGAAAGCTGAGCGCCGAAGAATTGATGCTTTCGAACTGTGGTGTGGGAGAAGACTCTTGAGAGTCCCTTGGACTGCAAGGAGATCCAGCCAGTCCATCCTGATAAGTCCTGGGTGTTCATTGGAAGGACTGATGCTGAAGCTGAAACTCCAATACTTTGGCCACCTGATGTGAAGAGTTGACTCATTGGAAAAGACCCTAATGCTGGGAGGGATTGGGGGCAGGAGGAGAAGGGGACGACAGAGGATGAGATGGCTGGATGGCATCACCAACTCAATGGACATGGGTTCGGGTGGACTCTAGGAGTTGGTGATGGACAGGGAGACGTGGTGTGCTTTGATTGATGGGGTCGCAAAGAGTCGGACACGACTGAGCGACTGAACTGAACTGATTAGCATGAGGCAGTGTCCTTCTCCAGCACCATTTGGAAGTTTTGGAACAGAAAAAGGGGAGAGCAGGCCTTGGGTGGAGAAGGGAACTGACCCTGAGATGCAGGCTGAACGAGGAGGTGTTTGACCCGCAGCTACTGGGGGCGGCAGTGGACGTCACGTGAGCAGCAGGTCCCACAAGGGGAGGGAGTGGACGTTGTAGAAACACAGGGAAGTTGCCGTTGGAGAAGAGCAGGAGTCAGCAAACTGCAACCCACGGCCAACTGCAGCCCTCCCCTGGTTTTATAAAGGAAGTGCTACAGATGACCGTCCCACCGGCCCTTTACAGAAAAAATTTGCTGACCCTGGAAAAGAGTTTCAGGGTTGGAGTTTCAGTGGTCAAGTAACAGAGAGATTGAAGTAGGAGCTGGACATGCCACTCTTGTGGCTGAAAAGCGGAGGTGGCCGCCACTGGAGAGGCACTGGGGAGCTGCGCAGCCCGAGTACTGTGAGCATGACCAGTGAGAGCGCTGAGCTCCCCTCACCGCGCCGGGGGCAGGGGGGGAATAGAAAGCTGAAGTTACTGAAGAAGGGGATGCAGCTGCCTGCGGGTCCCTGTGGCCTTCCGGAAGATCAGACGAGGAGGATGCGAGCATGAGGAAACAGAACGTTTCCTAGATGTGCAGCCCTGGGCACAGGCAGCAGGGTGTTTACTGACACCCCAGCCCTGGATCCCACAAGCCCCTCCAGTGAGTAGTCCTGGTCTGTGGGTGGGGGCGGAGCCATAGTGCCCCCTGTTCTGGTCAACGGGTGGCATTCTGAGAGAAGATGGCGTAGCTGGTGGCCTGCAGAACTGGCTTCTGAAGATGTGCCGTGGAGCAGCTATTGGGAAGTAGCTAAGGGGGTCTGGAATAGACACCACCACCCCACACATCCAGCTGGGCCTAGTGGTTTGAGTAGAAGTGCCCGGTGTCCCTTCTGAGCCTGGGCACCACGCTGAAGGATGAGAACGGTGTACCTGTTTTCTAAGAAAACTGTCCAGTTCCCCTAAAATCAAATTCTGGTTCTCCCAGGATGGCAGTGCAATTAGACGATTCTATGAGGTCCTGCCCCCCTTCCCCAGGTGAGGAGACTTCCTCTGCTACAGCCTTGGAGGATGGGGTTCCAGTTCACCCAGTCCACTAGCTTGTTTCTTTATAGTCACCAGATGATAGATTTCAGAGAAGAGGTCTGGGCGGTGGGCCATTTCATGGTCTCCTAACTCCCTTGGCACTTTTAGGTTATTCTGTGTTTGTCTGTTTCTAAAGTAAAACATTTATTTGTTTTCTGGATTGTAAAAGGATTTTTTTTTTTTTGATAAGTGGAAACATACATTCTCAACTCCCTAAACTCCTGAAGGGAAGACAATGCGCTAGGTTGCTGGGGAGGCTGTGCTGAGGCGTCAGCACCCCCACATGCTCCCGGGAGCTCTGTGCATCCACTGTCTGCTCCTCCATCTCTTCCCTCTGTTGGGTCCACGGGTAGAACCGGTGAGGTGGGCAGGCCACCCTAGCCGGGTCACAAGCCACATCTCACTCGGCTTCTCCGCTTATTATGAGGCAGATACAGCCCCCACCCCACCCCACCCCACCCCAAGCAGGCGGACGGGACAGACTCCCCGCCGCAGTCCTAATTCTCTCTCTTCTCCATCTTCTTGTTCTGCAGGGGTATTCCCTCAACAGATACCAAGCCCGCCCAGCCCAGGGCTATGAGCACAGCAGGCACAGGCACCAGCAGCCGGAGCGGGTACCTTATCGTGACAGTTTCCAGCTCCAGCAAATAGAGTTTCTCAAGGGGCAGCTCCCAGAAGTGCCCCTATTTGGAAAGCAGCCACCGTCATTGCTACCGTTCCCCCCTGGACTCCAGCCGAGGTTTCCAGGACCACCTGCCAGAGGCAGGCCCTTCCAGATCCAAGGTGTCCACAGGGGCGTGCCTCTCAGAAGTCAGGTACTCCCAAGACGGTTCCAGCATCCTTCCCCACGTGGCCACTTTCGGCCATGGAGAGGTGTTGATAGGCTCTCCTCACATTTCCAGGGACTGACCATCAGCCAGGATCAGGAACGAAGGACCCTAGAGCTCTTGGATGAGCTTGGGGACGGGAAGGCCACCACAGCGCGTGATCTGGCCCGGAAGCTGCAAGCCCCGAAGAAGGACATCAACCGAGTCCTATACTCTCTGGCAGAGCAGGGTAAGCTGCACCAAGAGGCAGGATCTCCCCCTTTGTGGAGAGCCACAGTCCCGGGTCAGGCTCAGAACCAGCCCAGCCCAGTAACAAGGGCAGACAGTCCAACCCCAGGAGCTCCAAGCCCAGACTCCAGTGTGGAAGCTGAAGACCGAAGCTCCCCGTTTGGCTTGGAAGAGCCTCCTGAGCCTCTCGACATGGCTGAGATCAAGGAAAAGATCTGTGACTACCTGTTCAACGTGTCCAACTCCTCTGCCCTGAACTTGGCCAAGAACATCGGCTTCACTAAGGCCCGGGATGTGAACGCTGTGCTGATTGACCTGGAAAGGCAGGGGGATGTCTGCAGACAGGGCACCACCCCTCCCATATGGCATTTGACTGACAAGAAGCGAGAGAGGATACAGATCAAGAGAAACAAGGACAGTGTTCCCGAGACCACTCAAGCTGCTGCTGTCCTGGAGACCAGGAAAACCGCAGAGGCCCCCACCTGCAATTTACCGGCCTCAGACGCCTCCGACAGCACGGCCACCCCAGCAAAGGTGGAAAATGGGCAGGAACCCACCGTCAAGTTAAAAATCAAGCAAGAGGCCACAGCAGAGCCAATAAAACTGAAACCACCTGTTCATGACAACGGCCCCTCCAAAACAGGGTATGTTGACTTTGAAAACGGCCAGTGGGCCACAGATGACATCCCCGATGACTTGAATAGTATCCACGCTGCACCAGGTGAGTTCCGCGCCATCATGGAGATGCCCTCCTTCTACAGTCATGGCTTGCCACGGTGCTCGCCCTACAAGAAGCTGACAGAGTGCCAGCTGAAGAATCCCATCAGCGGCCTGTTAGAGTATGCCCAGTTCGCTAGTCAGACCTGTGAGTTCAACATGATAGAGCAGAGCGGACCACCCCATGAACCTCGGTAAGAGACCACCCAGGAATTCTGCCTCAGGTTGGGTCAGGCGCTCTTGCTCCTGACACAGTCTCGGCCGACTTGTGAGCAGTGCCGGTTGATGGCCCTTGTCTTTTCCCTCTTCCTTTCTACTTGTGGGCTGCGTCATCCTTGTCTGGCCCTTCCTCTGTCTCTTGAGCAGGGAACATAGACTTCAGCCCAGCCAGAGTCTTGGCTGAGCAAGGGGGAGGTTGGCACTCTTGGCTAAAACGAAGCTTCTTTGGAGATGATTAGCTTCCATGCAGCAGTGCCATGCCTGCCTCCTAAGGCCAGAGGTAATGAAGGCTTGATGCCCCTCCCGCCCCCTTCTGTGTGCCATCCTCCTCCACCCCTGCCCGCCCCCCCCCCCACCAGCTGAGCTCCCCATGGGAGATGCACAAACATCTGGCTGCACACCAGAGTAAGGGTGGGTTGTGCTGCTAAGTAGCAGTGGGTTCAAACCACCCCACCCCTCCCGCCTCCCGCTCAGCTCCCGTAGGGAAGGGATGCACGTGTAGGGTGTGCACGGCTGCCTGCCGAAGGTGGTGGTTCTAATTTTACAAGCTGCCTCCGCGCAGATGGGTGGGCTAGCACTTGCTGCTGCTTCTAAGCTGTGAAATCAGAAATTACCTCACCCAGACAGCTGGCCTGGCCCGGCACCATAGGCGCTTCCAAGCCAGCAGACAGACAGAGGAAGACAGGTGTGCCCAGGAGGAGCTGCTGCAGGGCCTAGCAGAGATCAAAGACCACTAAAGCCAAGTGGCCGCCTGCCGCAACTAGAGAGCACCCCAGCAGAGAGCCCTGCTAACCTTTACTCTAGCTGTAGGCCGCTGTCTGATGAGAGTAATGATTCCCAGTGGCGACCCTGCCTCCTTATCTGACCGTCTTAATGGCACTGAGATGACATTGCAGGGGAGCTGTGAGGAAGAGAGGGTGCATCCAAAAGCTGGCAGGGTCAGGACAGGTGTGCTTCTGTCTGGGGTGGAGGTAGGATGGCCGTCCTTCCTTCTCCCTTCGTCCCTCTCCCGAGTTGGGGCGCAGGAGTGGGTTTTGTGGTTAACCTTTCTTTGGACTCCAGCTGTAAGAAACATTGATGCCATGTTCAAATATTTCAGAAGACCCAGGAAATAAGAAATTTGACCTACTTTTCTAAATGAAATCCCAGATTGAGCAAAGAGCTGAACCAATTTGAAAGCTTGAACAAAAGCGGACTAAGCTAAGTCCAGGGGCCTAGAACAAATGCTTTTTGGTTCTCTGCATAACAAGGAGATACGCCTTTCATCTTAGGCGCAGACTAATAGAGCTGTAGGATGACTCAAAAGAAACCATGAGAGCAGTGTATCTCTGAGGGTAGGTTGGGGACGAAAACAGGTCCCCCAGAGTGGCAGGCATCTGATCCCCATAGGTGTCTGGAGAGTGTGAGACTGCGCTGGGAGAAGCCTTGGCTTTCTTTAGGAACTGCCCTTGAGGTGGCTGAGTCTACCACCATTGCTTTAGGGTAAAGGCTCTTTGGTTGCTAACAAGACTATAATGGTGATTTTAGCTCATCATTTTTTGTACAGATTTGATCTTAATTTATTGCTAAAGGATAGTGGGTTTCCCTTGAGCTAATTTCTTATTACCTGTGGCTGCGTTTGCTCTAATGAGCTTGGAGAGAGAGAGTCACTGGCTGCTTTGTTTCCAAAAAAGTAGGAGTGGGCTGTGCCTGCCAAGGGACGGGAGTCCCTCGGGCTGCTCTCCGTCTCCTTCACAAGTCAGCAGGCCCCTTAGCATAGCAGGAAATTCCAGGGTGAAGATCTCTTTGGAGAGGGCAGAAGGGATGGCCTAGACTCGTGTTCACACATCTAATCACTTTCCATCAAGATTTAAATTCCAAGTTGTCATCAGTGGCCGAGAGTTTCCCCCAGCTGAAGCTGGCAGCAAGAAAGTGGCCAAGCAGGATGCAGCCATGAAAGCCATGACAATTCTGCTTGAGGAAGCTAAAGCCAAGGACAGTGGAAGATCAGAAGACTCATACCACTACTCCTCAGAGAAAGAATCAGAGAAGGTAGGTGTCCTGTCCTCTGGGAGGACATGCATTCACTGTCCACATCTGTGAAGTACTAGACCATCATCTGACCCTCTTGAAACAACCTCGGCCTGCCCAACCCATTCTCTGTCTCAGAGTCAGCTTCCCGCTGTCCCCTCTCCCCTGCCTCAGCAACCCACCTTTCCTCTTTTCATATCCAGCTCTCCTTCTGGTGCCCCTCCCAACCTAACTGTAATTGCAGAATTTCAGAGTTGAAAGAGGCATTAAAATTTATTGAATCCAATCTCTTCTCTTGGCGGATACAAAATAATGAAACCAAGGACATTTACGTAACTGATCTGCAAGGCCTAGAAAATCCCCGCAACCCTCTTCCTTTAGAAAGCCAGCCCCAAACATGCAGTTGACCGAAAGAAGTTCTCCCATCCCCATTCCCTCTGCTGTGACAGAACAACCAATGTTTTCTTTTTTTTTTGTCTCATTTTCTCCACAGACTGCAGAGTCCCAGACTACCGCCCCTTCAGCAGCACCCTTCCTTTCTGGGAAGAGCCCCGTCACTACATTGCTCGAGTGTGTGCACAAGTTGGGGAGCTCCTGTGAATTCCGTCTCCTGTCCAGAGAAGGCCCTGCCCATGACCCCAAGTACATCTCTTGCACCATGTATCTCTGCTGAGGCTTTCTCAAAAAAGAGAGAGATGCATTTTCTTCCTTGCCTCCTCGAGGTGGCAGATTATTTCCCTGAGCAGTCACTCCTGCTTTCAGTACGGAAAATGGGGGGCCTTGAGAGCATGGTTGATGCTTGTGGAGCAGAGAATCTGGGATTAGGAGTTCACAGGGCAAACCAGGGGCCAAGCACGAGGGAGATACATGGCTTGAAGGTTACTGGTGGTGGGACTAAGAGGTGCAAGACCCAGGTCTCCCTGAGAAGCTCTCTGCTCCGAGGCTCTGCAGACTTACATGTTCGAGAGAAGGGTCCCTGGAGGAGATGAAATTAGGTCGATGCTTAAAAATGTTGAATTAGGGGTCAGTTGGGCAGCAGGAGGGTGAAAGGCAGCGGCTCTCCAAGGCAGGAGTGACTGCGTGAGCCACGGCACAGAGGCGCTGCGTGCGAGGAGATCACGAGTCATGAGGGCGCACCCTGACAGAGGCTAGGTAGAGCTCTTCTGTCAAAACCAGTTTGATCCTCTCCCTTCGCCTCCTGTCAGGTTCCAATACTGTGTTGCGATGGGAGCCCATACCTTCCCCACTGCCAGTGCCCCAAGCAAGAAGGCAGCGAAGCACATGGCTGCAGAGGAGGCCATGAAGGCCCTGCAAGGGGAGGCGACCAGCTCGGCGTCTTCTGACGACCAGGTGGGGCCGTTTTCTACTCACGGATGCAGGCCGTTTTTAGCAACTGAGTGGCGTAGGATGGCCCGTAGGCCCCTCAGAGTTTCCATGAAGTGTTCACGGTTCCTCTTCGGCTGATTCTCCTGCAGCCCGGAAGTACGAACACGGAATCATTCGATACCTTGGAATCAGTGATGCCCAACAAGGTCAGGAGGATCAGTGAGCTCGTCAGATACCTGAACACCAACCCAGTGGGAGGCCTATTGGAGTACGCCCGCTCCCACGGCTTTGCTGCTGAGTTCAAGTTGGTTGACCAGTCCGGACCTCCTCACGAGCCCAAGTGAGTATTCCAGTCCTGGCCACAGCCTTGTGTCACAGGGTGAGACAGCCTATAATCCAGGAAAAGGAAGGATGTATATTAGCTGTGAATGACAGGAGGGGCATGTTGAGAGAGCCCTGTCCCCAGGGCCTCTGAGAAGACACTAGATTAGCCATCTTGAGAAGATACCTACTCTTCCAGTGAGTGTGAGCCTTTAAAAAATTTTTAAACAAGTTTTCATTTTTAAAGGAATATATACACCCATAGAAAATCATTCAGGCTGATTGAAAAGATGTGCAGTTAAAAGGCCTCATTTCTATTTTATACTTCTAGTTTCCTTCCCTAGACTCATATACTATTACCAGTTTCTTGAGTCCATGCACACATTAGCCTGTTTTTCTTCCTCTGTTTTTTAGAGTAAGTATATATCATCTTCTGTTCTACTTAACCATGTGCCTCAGAGGTCATTACAAATAAGTGTGTATAGACCTACCACATAAATGCTCCATTGAATAGATATTTACAGTTTTTAAATTGCTTTACTAAATAAGAGATATAAAAGGCCCTCTTAAAACAGACACTTAACTACCTACCTCACAGTTTAAGACAAAGAATGTTATTACTATTTGAAGCCCCACCTTGCATAACTTCTGTAACCAACTTCCCATGATACTCAGGTTGGTTTTGGTCTCATTCTTAAAAGCAGTCTTGCAGTGAACATCTGGCCCTGCATGTCTTTGTCTGCATGTACAAACTTGTCTCTGGTATAAATGTTCAGGAGTGGAAGTTCTAAGCCGTGAGTCTTATACATTGTTTTTTAAGTTTTTTAAATAGGTAATAGATTATGCAAAATTAAAAATATTATTCAAAAATAAAAATATAAAAAGCTCATTCTCACTTTCACCCAGCTCTTACCTACATACATACACACAAACACATATACACCCCAACATGTAATAACTTTGCACTATTACATATCCTTCCAGAGTGTCCATATAAATGCAAGCAGCTATATTCCCTTTCATTACACAGAAATACATATATGCATTAATTTCTAGCTTGCTTTTTACACATAAAATTATTATCTTAGAAAATTTTTCATTTCACTTTCTGCAAAGTATAGTGTTTCAGTGTACAGATTTATCATGATTTATTTAACCAGCCCCAGTTAATGAATACTTGGATTGTTTCCAAACTTGGTTTTATAACAAGGCTACAATGAATAACATATGTGTATTTAAAGTTTTGGTAAATTTTGCCAAATTTTCCTCCAGTGAAATTATACCAGTTTATGCTTCCACCAACAACATATAAAGAATGTCTCTTCCTCTACCTCATAAGCGTTCTAAAAAGCGAAAAATGGTATCTCCGTGCAGTGGAAAGCCTAATCCACACCAGGATATTTATTATTACTATTTACTACATTAATAGGTCAAAGGAGAAACACCACATTGTCATCTCCTGAAGTTCCAAAGAGACATATAGTAAAATTCAGCATCCACTCAGATTAAGAAAGCAAGTTGTTAAGAAAGCAGAAATTATTGAATACGTCCTTTGCATGTCTGAAGTCAAAAACCAGCAGCTTAATGTTAAACCCAGAACTGTTCCCGTTAAAGTCAGGAAGAAGGTGTGGCTGCCAGTGTCACCACTATTTAATATCATTCTGGAATTCCTAGCTAATGCAAGCAGTTTAGAAAAAGAAGCAAATGTAAAGAGAGGAAAGGGGAGGTAAAGTTACCACTATTTGTAGATGATTTGATAATATGCCAGGAATATTCGTGAGAAAACTGAAGAAATACAGAGATGAAGCAGAGTTTAGGAGAGCAGGGGACTATAAAATGATGTGTAAGAGTCAAGAACTTTTCTTGTATTTAGTAATAAGCAGTTAGAAAATGTAATAGAAAATATCCTATTTGCAACTTTAGCTAAAAAGAAAAGTGAGTCAGGCACATTCCTAATAGGGAATATGTGGGTTCCACATTAGATAAAATGCCAGAAACCTGGGGACCATCTCCCCTATCCAATTCACCTCCTTCAGCCAAACTATCCTTGAAGAAAAGAAAAAAGGAGGTGTTAGTTGCTCAGTTGTGTCTGACTCTTTGCAGCCCCATGGACCGTAGCCTGCCATGCTCCTCTGTCCATAGATTCTCCAGGCAAGAACCCTGGAGTGGGTAGCCACTCCCTTCTCCAGGGGGTTTTCCCGACCCAGTGATCGAACCCAGGTCTCCCACATTGCAGGCAGATTCTTTCATTTCTGAGCCACCGGGGAAGCTCTGTTTATTGTACCTACAATTTCTTTTTTTTTTTTTTTTTTGTACCTACAATTTCTACCCCAAATCCCTTCCTCTTTCTGCCTCCAGTGTCAACACTCTCTCAACTAAGCCATTGTCTTTTCTCACCTAAACCAGGAAATAGTCTCCTGGTCTCTCTGCGTTTATTTATTCATTCAACAGATATCTGTACAGGACATTGTATTTGTTAGAACAGGAGTCAGATATCAATAATCATATAAAGAAATGTAAGATCTTGTATTTGATAGATTATGAAGAGCTCACATTGCATAATGTGATGAGAATCTACGTGGCGTGGCTTGACTCAGTACAGGGAGAGGCTTCCCTGAGAAGTGATCCACGAGCTGAGACCTTAGTACCCCCAGGTCTGCAGAGCTAGTAAAGGGCTGCAGGAAGGCCAGTGTGGGTGGAGCAGAGAGCACGGGAGGGCCTGAAGCCAGATGAGACTGAAGGGGAGACCTTGTGAGCCATGTCATCCTCCTGCCTCACAAGCAGTAGGGAGCCACTGAAGGATTTTAAGTAAGGGAGATTCACTTGCCGCCCCCCCCCACCCCGACTTTTGCCCTCTCCATGGCATTTTTCCTACTATATTTTTATACTGCCTTTTCTTTCCTACTCTAAGAAAAGCAGTTCAGACCTTTGTCTTCAAATTTCCAACAAAACCCCTTTCTCGCTCTAAACTGATGATCTTACTTAATTGAGAAATTGTTGTTGTTGTTCAGTCGTTCAGTCTTGTCTGACTCTTTGCAAGCTCGTGGACTGCAGCACACCAGGCTTCCCTGTCCTTGACCATCTCCCGGAGCTTGCTTAAGCTCATGTCCATTGAGTTGGTGATGCCATTCAAGCATTTCATCCTCTGTCGTCCCCTTCTCCTCCTGCCTTCAGTCTTTCCCAGCATCAGGGTCTTTTCCAATGAGTCAGGTCTTCGCATCAGGTGGCCAAAGTATTTTAGCTTCAGCTTCAGCATCAGTCCTTCCAGTGAATATTCAGGATTAATTTCCTTTAGGATTGACTGGTTTGATCTCCTTACCGTCCAAGGGACTCTCAAGAGTCTTCTCCAACACCATAGTTCGAAAGCATCAATTATTTGGCAGTCAGCCTTGTTTATGGTCCCGCTGCCACATCCATATATGACTACTGAAAAAACCACAGCTTTGACTAGATGGACCTTTGTCGGCAAAGTAGTGTCTCTGCTTTTTAATATGCTGTCTTCCAGGGAGACATAGCTTTTCTTCCAAGGAGCAAGTGTCTTTTAATTTCATGGCTGCAGTCATTGTCTGCAGTGATTTTAGAGCCCAAGAATATAAAGTCTGTCACTGTTTCCCCATCTATTTGCCATGAAGTGATGGGACTGGATGCCATGATCTTAGTTTTTTGAATGTTAAGTTTTAAGCCAGATTTTTCACTCTTCCTCTTTCACCTTCATCAAGAAGCCCTTTAGTTCCTCTTCTCTTTCTGCCATAACGGTGCTATAATCTACATATCTGAGGTTGTTGATATATCTCCCAGCAATCTTGATTCAAGCTGTGTTTCATCCAGCCCGGAATTTTGTGTGATATACTCTGCATATAAGTTAAAGCAGAGTGACAGTATACAGCCTTGACATACTAACTCCTATCACAGTTTTGAACCAGTCCATTGTTCCATGTCTGGGTCTAATCGTTGTTTGTTGATCTGTAAGACCTGTATGCAGGTAGGTAAGTATGGTGGTCTAGTATTCCCATCTCTTTAAGAATTTTCCCCAGATCGTTGTGAACCACACAAAGGCTTTAGCATAGTCAGTGAAGCAGAAGTAGATGTTTTTCTGGAATTTCTTGCTTTTTCTATGATCCAGCGAATGTTGGCAATTTGATCTCTGGTTCTTCTGCCTTTTCTAAATCCAGCTTGAACATCTGCAGTTTCTCAGTTAACATACTGTTAACTTGGAGGATTTTGTGCATTACTTTGCTAACATGTGAAATGAGTGCAATTATGCAGTAGTTTGAACATTCTTTGGGATTGGAATGAAAACTGACCTTTTTCAGTCCTGTGGCCACTGCTAAGTTTGCTGGCTTATTGAGTACAGCACTTTAACAGCATCGTCTTTTAGGATTTGAAATAGCTCAGCTGAAATTCCATCACCTCCACTAGCTTTGTTTGTAGTGATGCTTCCTAAGGCCCACTTGACTTCGCACTCCAAGAATGGCTGGCTCTAGGTGAGCAATCATACCATTATGGTTATCTGGGTCATTAAGATCTTTTTTGTGTAGTTCTTCTGTGTATTCTTGCTGCCTCTTCTTAAAATCTTCTGCTTCCGTTAGGTCCATACCATTTCTATCTTTTATTGTGCCCATCTTTGCATGAAATGTTCCCTTGGTATCTCTAATTTTCTTGAAGAGATCTCTAGTCTTTCCCATTCTATTGTTTTCCTCTATCTCTTTGCATTGTTCACTTGGGAAGGCTTTCTTATTCTGCTTGCTATTCTTTGGAACTCTGCATTCACATGGGTATATCTTTCCTTTCCTCCTTTGCCTTTTGCTTCTCTTCTTTCTTCAGCTGTCTGTAAGGCCTCCTGAGACACCATTCTGCCTTTTTGCATCTCTTTTACTTGGGGGTGGTTTTGATCACCGCCTCCTGTACATCGCTACAAAGCTGTATCCATGGTTCTTCAGGCACTCTATCAGATCTAATCCCTTGAATCTATCTGTCACTCCCATTGTATAATTGTAAGGGATTTGATTTAGATCATACTTGAATGGCCTAGTGGTTTTCCCTACTTTTTTCAATTTAAGTCTGAATTTGGCAATAAGGAGTTCATGCTGTGAGCCACAGTCAGCTCCCGGTCTTGTTTTTGCTGACTATATAGAGCTTCTCCATCTTCAGCTGCAAAGATTATAATCAAGATGATTTCAGTATTGACCATCTGGTGATGTCCATGTGTAGAGTCGTCTCTTGTGTTGTTGGAAGAGAGCATTTGCTGTGACTGGTGCATTCTCTTGGCAAAACTCTGTTAGCCTTTGCCCTGCTTCATTTTGTACTCCAGGGCCAAACTTGCCTGTTACTCCAGGTATCTCTTGACTTCCTACTTCTGCATTCCAGTCCCCTATGATGAAAGGAACGTCTTATTTTGGTGTTAGTTCTAGAAGATCTTGTAGGTCTTCATAGACCGTTCAACTTCAGCTTCTTTGGCATTAGTGTTGGGACATAGACTTGGATTACTGTGATATGGTTTGCCTTGGAAACGAACAGAGGTCATTCTGTGGTTTCTGAGATTGCACCCAAGTAGTGCATTTTGGACTCTTTTGTTGACTATGAGGACTACTCCATTTCTTCTAAGTGATTCTTGCCCACAGTAGTAGATAGTAGCAGTAACAATCCTTACTTTCCCATCACTAAATCCACCTTCCTCCATGCATCTGCACATGACATATGTACTGGTGTGCAGGAAGCATCCTCCTTCCATCCCGTGCCCTGCATCCCCTCCACCTCGTCCTGTCCTTCCATTTTCTCACGCTCTTATTATCAATTGCTCCAGAGCTCTGTTGGATCATTCCCAGTAGTCTACACACATGCCTGTGCCCATCTGCTAAAACCCTTCCCTTGACCCTACATCTCCCTCCAAATGCCACCTCATCTCTCTGCTCCCCTCACAGCCAGACCTCTCAATATAATTGTTTATACTCAGTGTCTTCATTGGTGCACTTCCTTTACTCATTCCAATTAGGCTTTTGTCCCCAGCATCCCACTGAAAGGCTAACCACTAGCCATATGTGGTTGCTGAGCACTTGAAATGTGGCTGTGTAACTGAGGAACTGAATTATCAGTTGTATTGAATTTTAATTAAAGTTAGCAGCCTCATGTAGCCAGTGGCTATCATATTGGACAGTGAAGCTCTAGTGGATCCTAATTGCACAACTAAGAAACTTTGTTCTATATACTGTTGTTGTTCAGTCACTAAGTCGCATCCGACTCTGCAACCCCATGGACTTATCGTGCCAGGCTTCTCTGTCCTCCACTATCTCCCAGAGTTTGCTCACTTTCATGTCCATTGAATCGATGATGCTATCTAACCATCTCATCTTCTGCCTCCCCCTTCTCCTTTTGCTTTCAATCTTATTTTTATGTGTACATATATAGGTATGTGTATATGTTTGTATGGGTATCTCTTTGTGCCTAAGAGTTCATATTCTTTTCAAATACACAGAACACTTATGAAATTCTCCTGGATCCCTCAGGTCAAGATTCTACACAGTTTGGTCCCATTCCCTCTCTTCAACATCTCTTCATGCCTCTGTGCTTTTCCTTCATAAGCTTTAGCCCACTGGCTTGCACAAACAGTCGGCATCATCAAAGAAAGGAGCAAAGACATTCAGATGCTCATGACAAGCAAGGAATAGTGAGACACTCAATGTGGTTGACCAGAAAGATGGATTCCTATCACTGCCTTGAGCTAACTGATAAATCCTGATACTGAAACTTTTGTTCTGTGCAGTTAGATTATCCAAAAAACTGGGTTTCTCTAAAGCAGGTTAGGATCTGGTTAAAAGCTGGGATTCGTGAAACCTTGTCTGGTAGCTACCCAAACTGTCTGGCTCCGTCACTTCCTTCCCTCTGTGTTTGTGGAGATGCCTAGCCAGGAAGCAAGGGGAACCACAGGCCACTCCCCTCCCTCCCTAGCAGCACCACCTGCCTCCCTGCTCTGTCTCTGCCCAAGGTACACTCCCCTCCCTAGTTTTCGCAAGGCCTCCAGGAATCTAAAGTGAAAGTGTAGTCGCTCAGTTGTGTCCGACTCTGTGATCCCATGGACTGTAGCCTACCAGGTTCCTCTGTCCATGGGATTCTCCAGGCAAGAATACTGGAGTGGATTGCCATTTCCTTGTCCAGGGGATCTTCCAGACCCAAGGATCGAACTCAGATCTCCCGCATTGTGGGCAGACTGTCTACCGTCTGAGCCACCAGGAAATCCCCTAGAAATCTAAAAGTAACTCCTAATAAAGGTGTGGTTCCCTGAGCTAAGGCCAGCCTTGCTCTCAGATCTCTCCAGGTTAAGTCCTCTTGAGCTAATCAGGAAATGAATGAAGAAGTGGAATTAGGTACTTAAAAAATCAGAGCATTAGAAACAGTGATTCAAGCAGGAAGAAAGTTATTCCCATCTCATTTTTGCTTAAGTTAAAAAGGAAGTCCACATGTGGTATTAGTATTTCTTTAAAGCCTCTCTAATACTTACTAAATTTCCTTTATGATAAAGACAGGCTTAGAGCCTTTACAATCCATAGTGTCTCGTCAGAATTTAATAACTTGATTTTATCCTGTTCAGTTTATTTATAACCACCTTCCGTGTATGGCAAGTGATCCTGATTTTTCACTTACAGTAGTGATACAAAGTGTCCTTTTAAAATGTATTTACATTTAAAAAGAGTCAATTTAGAGAAAAATATTAAGTAAGTAATACTCAGGTGATACCTGGGTATAGCAGAAACCACACTATGATTCAGGGATATTCAAAGTCTAGGAAGTGGTCCCTTAGGAACAGAGCTATCGGGAGTGATGAGGCCACATGTCGGCCAGCCTGGCCTCCCGCCGAGCAAAACCAGCCCTTTTCTGGGGCAGCTGTGCAGGCCAGGTGCATGTCTTCATTCCCTGCTTCTCATCCCCAAGGTTCGTTTACCAAGCCAAAGTTGGCGGTCGCTGGTTCCCAGCCGTCTGCGCGCACAGCAAGAAGCAAGGCAAGCAGGAAGCTGCAGATGCGGCCCTCCGCGTTTTGATTGGGGAGGACGAGAAGGCAGAGCGCATGGGTTTCACAGAGGTAACCCCAGTGACAGGGGCCAGTCTCAGAAGAACTATGCTCCTCCTCTCAAGGTCCCCAGAAGCAAAGCGAAAGACAGTTAAGCCGTCTACTTTTGGTGCTATCTTTTTTTGGGGGTCCTGCTAACTCCTGTCTGGGTGGAGTCAGCTCTTAAGTTGCTGTCATGTGAACTGTCCCTCGGCTTTAACATTAGCCTCCATAGCGCTGGGGTGCTATTGCAAGAGGGGGAAGAGATGACCCACGAGTCGAGCAGTACTCGACCTCCCCGCCCAGCCTGAAACATGGTGGACACAGGCGAGGCTCTGTGGCCCTGACACGGCCTCCTGTCCCCACAGCTTCCTCTCACGGGCAGCACCTTCCACGACCAGATAGCCATGCTGAGCCACCGGTGCTTCAATGCCCTCACCAATAGTTTCCAGCCCTCCTTACTCGGCCGCAAGATCCTGGCTGCCATCATCATGAAGAAAGACTCTGACGACCTAGGTGTTGTGGTCAGCCTGGGGACAGGTAAGTGGGCTCTGAAATGTGTCCCCCCAGCTCTCCATGCCCTGTGGTGACTGCACGCACCTCCTTATTCTCCTCTGTGGGTGAATTTAAGGCAGAAAGAAGACTCATGTTATATTTTAGCTACAGTTTATTCAGAGCAAGGAATGAATTCTCATATCCTAGGAAAAAGAATACAGGAGTCAGGATTGATAAATTGAGGCTATTTGTACTTTCAGGCTTTAAGAACCAACAGCCTGTATCCTATTCATCATTGTTTACCTTTGGAAATTTCACATTTGCTTTAAATGCCTTTCCAGGGAATCGCTGTGTGAAAGGAGATTCTCTGAGCCTGAAGGGAGAAACTGTCAATGACTGTCATGCAGAGATCATCTCCCGGAGAGGCTTCATCAGGTGAGCAAGATCGCAGGGTGTCGGGGCTCTGACACCACCTCACAGGCAGGTCCTCAGCCCTGCAGTGTCAGCCTTTGAACTTCTTACTGAATCAGTCCCTGTGTGACATGGCTACATCCCTCTCCTCGGCCTGCTGTGGAAGAGTGCTGTCTTTTCCCGCTAACTCCACTTCAAGCCCCTTTTAAAAAACACATGATGACCTCTTGATCTTCAGTGCTATGGGGATGAGGAGGCCTTCCGTCTCCATTTGAGGACCTACAAACAAACCCACTGTCCTGCCAGCTTTCCTCTCCAGTTCATCTTTAATTTGTGAAGGGAAAGAAGCCACAGCCTCTTGTAGTTCCTGAATCAATTTGTTCTGCCCTAAAATTGCTGTCACTGCCAGAGCAAGAAGCTCTTGGCAGAATTGTAACTGACCTGAAAGGTTAACTTAGCTGTAAGAAATGCCGAGGTCTCCCATGGAGAGTTTCCACCACCTCTTTCAACCTGAGAAACAGTGAAAGGTCTGCACCGTTAAGGCTTTTCCTTACTTGGGATCAGATTATAGAAGCAACCACTGTTCTCAGAATCAAAGCAGTCTTCTTAACCAGCTTTCTTCTTATAGGTTTCTCTACAGCGAGTTAATGAAATACAACCCCCAGACGGCAAAGGATAGTATATTTGAACCTGCTAAAGGAGGAGAAAAGCTTCAAATAAAAAAGAGCGTGTCGTTCCATCTCTATATCAGGTCTGTACAATCTCTGTTGTCACTGGAGCCGGCCTGCCGGCTTTCCAGGACTGGGTGTCTGAATGGTTTCCTCGTCCATAATTCATAGCTTGTTCAGTGGGCCATGCTCAACTCTTGTTTGAGGTCCACACCCCAGTGTGGAATGACTCACACTTCTACCCACTCCAGTAGCCCGTGATAGGCTTCAGAAAAAAAAAACCCTTGTTTCTGCCACATGGAGCTGTTCTTGAGCCCTAGGCAACCGAAGAGATCCATGCACACAGGTGGGTGTTGACAGACGCCCCTGTCTTGCAGCACGGCCCCATGTGGGGATGGGGCCCTCTTTGACAAGTCCTGCAGCGACCGAGCTGTGGAGAGCACAGACTCCCGCCACTACCCTGTCTTCGAGAATCCCAAACAAGGCAAGCTCCGCACCAAGGTAGAGAACGGTGAGTAACATGTCCTCCATCTCCCACAGAAAGGCTCTGCAAAGCCCCAGGCCCATCACAGGGCCAGGGCACAGCTGCAGGGTTTCTGCCGTCAGTGGGTGGGACACCAGGGTCTTGTCTCCAGGGAGAGGGAAGATGTAAGTCGGGTAAGGTCTATGGGAAGATCGGGATTCCATTTTGAATTAGTCTGCTGGGGGGATCTCCAGTCAAATAGGAGGCAGAGGTACCCATCTAGAGCTCAGAGGAGAGAGGTGGCTGTAAATAAAAGTTTGGGAGTTCTCCTACGGTTGATCTTTATGGCCATGGAAATGGATGGGATCACCTCAGGGAAGGTTGGAGAAAATGGAAAGAAAACGATGCAGAACAAGCCTGAGGCGTTAACAGGAGGACTCTGCGCGCCCGCTCCCCCTCCTGCCTAGTTGGCCGCTGATCCTGCCCCTTGTCTGCCAACTCCTCCTCCTCCATTGTCCTCCCATGTCTCCTCACCGTCCCCTCACGTCCACTCCATTCCCTTCAGGCCATCCTTCTGCAGTCATCAGAGTGACCCTCAAACAGAGGTCATGTCGCTTCCCTGCTAAAAACCCTGAAGTCTAAACACAGAGCTCCCATGTGACCCGGCAGTTCACTCCTAGAAACATCCCCAAGAGAAATGAAAATATACCCACACAAAAACTAACACAGGCCAGCTACCCCTTCTGTCGGCATTGCCACTCTTGGGGCTGAGGAGGCTCCAGGCTGCCGCATCATCACTGCATTTGCTGCGCTGGCCCTGCGCTTTACAGCCCTGCAGAGTCTCCTTTTTTTCCTCTCATTTTTTCCCCCCGCAGTCTCCCATTATGGAGACCCAGGGAGAAAAAATGAATACAGAATGTTTATAGCAGCAATGTTCGTAATAGCCCAAAAGTAGAGACAACCCCAGTGTCCATCAACTGATGAATGGATAAACAAAATGAAGTATACCCATAAAATGGGATATCATTTGATACATGCCACAACATGAAGGAACCTAGGAAACAGTGTTAAGAAGGGAAAGAAGCAAGTCACAAAAAAGATTTTGTATTACGTGGCTCCCACGTTTTCATTACTTGAAACATCTAGAATAGGAAAATCCATAAAGAAGGAAAATAAATTAGGGGCCGTCTGGGCCAGCGGTGGAAGGGGCTGGAGGGAAATGGGGTGTGACAGCTAATGGATAGGAGGCTTCCTTGGAGGGTGATGAAATGTTCTCACATTGATTGTGGTGATGGCTGCACAAGTCTGTGAATACACTAAAAATTATTATGTACTCTAAACAGGCAGATTGTATCTCATTAAAGTTCACTGGAAACAAAAAGCCCACCACCCTGCTGTGGTTTCCTACGAAAGCAAACCCCGCAGCTGCAGCCATGCTGGTTCTTCGTCAGGTCCCTCAACAGCTAAACCCTCTGCTGCCCCAGGGCCTTTGCTTTTGCTCAACTGTGTGTCTGAAACACTCTTTCTCAGCCATTTCTTCTTTTCTTCGTGTCTCAGCCCCCCAACAATCCTGTCCCAGGAGATTCCCTGACCTGTCCATTATAGCTCCCTCAAACCATCTACAATCGTTACGTGTGCATCAGCTTACTTGTTTAGTGTCTGTTCCCTTTCTGCTCCCTCACTCCCATCAGCCTTCTAGGAACACAAGGATCTGATTTGGTTTTGCTCACCATTGCTTCCCGGCACCCAGCCTAGTACCCAGCACCAAGTAGCTGCTGTGAAATACTCAAAAGAACAAATGAGTGAGAAGCCTCTGGCCCGAGTCTAAGGAGCAGAAAATGCCACACCAGGGAGGGGCCTGGTCCAGCGGCCCTTGCAGGTCTAACCCAAGTCTCTCATCCAGGGGAAGGCACGATCCCAGTGGAGTCCAGTGACATTGTGCCCACGTGGGACGGCATTCGTCTGGGAGAGAGACTCCGCACCATGTCCTGCAGTGACAAAATCCTGCGCTGGAATGTGCTGGGCCTGCAGGGGGCACTGTTGACCCACTTCCTGCAGCCTGTGTATCTCAAATCCGTCACTCTGGGTAAGGACCTACCTTGGGAGCTGGAACCGGACTGTCATCCTGGTTCCCAGATCCCAGCAAACTGCACACTCCGTTGCCAGGTGTTAACATGATGTCTCCCCTTTTCAAAGTGTGCTCAATTTGGTGGTTTAGTAATTGATTCTGAGTGTCCCGTCTGCTGATGGGGAAATTGGTTTAGGCAGCAGTCTCAGTAACGACATGCCAACCAAGTCTTTCAAGGTGAGTTAGAGAAACACAGCAGCTTAAAACTGCAGCATCTCAGTGCCCTTCCCCTCTCAGCGCATGGCCTTACCTGGAACCTTATCTTATTGCACTTAACTGGTGATCCCTGTGTGTCCCGGGCAGCCGCAGTCAGCAGGTGCTCCCTGCCCAGGGAGCTGGTGCTCTGTCTGTGCCCTCACATGCCTCCCCACATGCCTCTTGCTTCATGGCACTGGGATGATCGGGCGTGTGCATTTCTCCTTGTGCCCAGGTTACCTGTTCAGCCAGGGGCACCTGACCCGTGCCATTTGCTGCCGTGTGACAAGAGATGGAAGTGCGTTTGAGGACGGACTCCGACATCCCTTTATTGTCAACCACCCCAAGGTGCAATAAGCCAATCATTTTCCTCTTGACGTTTTCTTCTTTTCAAGTAATCCTGTCAGCAGAGCAGAAATGTACAGTGTGGGCAAGGGGAGCCTTAGTTGGTTTCCCTCTAACTTAGCCTTCCCTCCTTTTGAATGCTAAGGGCTTTCCTTCTTTGGGGGCTTCCCCGATGGCTAAGACAGGAAAGAATCTGCCTGTAAAGCAGGAGACCTGGACTAGGTCCCTGGGTTGGAAAGATCCCCTGGAGGAGGAAATGCAGCCCACTCCAGTATTCTTGCCTGGAGAATTCCATGGACAGAGGAGCCTAGCAGGCTGCAATCTATGGGGTCACAAAGAGTTGGATATGACTGAGCGATTAACACTTTCACTTTTTTCCTTCCTTTAATTTGGAATCCATTTGAATTGAGGTGGGGTTAGTACATCTGAGTCTTAGCCAAACAGAATGATAAACAAGGGGGAAAGATCGTGACCCCATATTCCCTCTTTGCTGTGAGTCTTGAGTCCCTGCTTCAGAAGCTTTTCCCTGAAAGTTTCCATCTTCCTCCCCCTTGCTCCTGGAATTCCTAGGTTGGCCGAGTCAGCGTATACGATTCCAAAAGGCAGTCTGGGAAGACCAAGGAGACAAGTGTCAACTGGTGTTTGGCTGATGGCTACGACCTAGAAATCCTGGACGGGACCAGAGGCACCGTGGATGGGTACGGAGCTGGGGGAGCACAGCCGCCCAGCCAGGCGTGCTAGCCAGACTGCCGAGGGGCGTCACAGTGTCAGGCTCCGGAGCTTAAAAGTTGCCACCTCCCCACCCCCAGTGCCTCCCCTTGTTCCATCCCAGGTGATAATGAGTCCTTTCGTTTCCCCAGGCCACGGAACGAATTGTCCCGGGTCTCCAAAAAGAACATTTTCCTTCTATTTAAGAAGCTCTGCTCCTTCCGATACCGCAGAGATCTACTTAGACTCTCCTATGGTGAGGCCAAGAAAGCTGCCCGTGACTACGAGATAGCCAAGAACTACTTCAAAAAATGTCTGAAGGACATGGGCTACGGGAACTGGATAAGCAAGCCCCAGGAGGAGAAGAATTTTTACCTCTGCCCAGTGTAGCGTGACCCAGTGACTGTCAGGTTGGGTGTTTCACACTGGGTGCGAGAGAGAGGTCATAGCATTCCTCATCACATGGGTCAACAGGTTTTGGGTTTTATTTTCCTTTTTTTAAAAAGAATGGAACCACGGTTGGTCTCACGGTTGGTGAGAACTGTGGGTTCCTGATATTCTACTTTTCTTTGGGAATATCAGGCCAGGGCTCGCCATCTCCCTTCTTTTTTCTCCAGCAGAGAGACAGACCGCAGGGCAGAGAGAAGGGGTTTGTTCCTTCTTTCCACCCATTTCCTCTTCCGGTCTATTTCCGGTTTGTGTTTTTTTTTTCTGTTTCCTTTCCCTTTGTGTTTGCTACACTGACCTCTTGTGGTCTCAATTAGGTTCCAGTCAACCATGTGAATCATGCCAGGGACAGGATTTTTCATTTGTGAATTCTGAGTTCCCTCTGCTTCCCATCTTCCCCTTCTGAGATTCCTTCCTCGTGATTGTTAGTTTTTCCTTTTCCTCCAAGAGGGTAAAGCAGTGAACTTAAAGAATCTGGTGAAACATTTCTAAGGGCCGGAGTTGAACACTGCAGTCAGCTTGTTACCGGTGCCAAGCGTGATGAGAACCTGCAGATGATGCTCCGTGATCTTGCACTTTAGCCGGCTTGGGAGGGGCCCAGCGGCAGGGGAGGCCGCTGCCGGGGAGGTGCGTCCCTTCCCCTGGCGGCAAGAAGGGCTGGGACCAGCCAGATGGGGCTAATGGAATTGCCTGAGCACTAGAGGAGGCCTGCCCTCCAGGGGTAACACAGACCACTTCCCCGGTAGGCAGACATACCTTGGAATGTTGCCAAGCTCCCAGCTGCCCCTCCTAAAGCATTCCTAGGAATCTGTCCTGCTGACAGGGGCAGTAACGCTGTAGACCCCGACCAGTTGGTAGGAAGAAACCCAGGGTAAATCCTAGAGGGTAAATCGTCTCTGCTCAGATAATCATGACTTAGCAGGAATAAGGCAAAAAATCATGTTGGGTCAGACCACTGCTCCCCCCAGCGTATTTCTCGTGATGGTGACACCAAGGGAAGGTGACTAACTCATGGTAAATGGGGAGTTTTAAAAAGAATGCCATAAATGTTGATCCTCAACAGCTACAGATAACCTGTAATTGCACAGATTTGAAGTTCAGATGTCATTTTCCGTTGATTAACAGAGTGCTTTTGTTTTGCCTAACAGCTTCAGAAGGTTGTCTGCGGGCGGGTCACACACCCGAGGTCTCCTGCCTGCTAGGGAATCATTCTAGGGTTGACTTGAGCAGTAACTCCAAGTGAAAGGGCAGGTTGTCCTAAAACTCTGTGAGGTGGGACTCTGGGTCTACACCTCAAGCTAACATGGACTCTTGTGGTCAGAGCCTTCATCTCTCTGGGCCTGGGTCTGGGCCTAAGCCAGCTAGATATGCTCAAGAAAAGTACAGAGGCTCTGCCATCTCCAGACCTGAGCCTGCCTCTTTCCCTCTGGACAGTTCCTCTGTCATCTGTGAACATGCCAAACCAGTGCCCTCAGATGATTTTCCATTGTCCCCCACACCCTGCAAACTACTGACTAGTTGCCCCCCATCTGTCCTGGCTTGTCAACAGTGGATACACCCAGGTCCGCACGTTTATTGTTGTGGCTTCTGTGCCCGCTGTACTTTGACCAAAGTGAGAAAACGTTAAGTCTTTCAAACACACTAAGGATGTTTCTGCGGACACCCAAGTGTCCCATGGAACTAGAAGGGAAGCAGTGTCTGTCTTCTGAGGTGGCAGGGGCCTACCCCCCAGTCCTATGAATCTTCCAACGGCACACGAGATCAGTCCCGCCCAGGGAGGCAGCTCAGCTCCCTGGTTCTTTGGGCTGGAGAGCATCACCTACTCACTCCTGGCATGTCCAGCCCCTCTGGGCATTAGAACCTCCACAGGGCTCAGTCTCAGCCACCTCTTCTCAGCTGGGAGCCCGGGTACTCGCAACCGGTCAGAGCCACCGCTTGCCCCAAGATCTTGTCTAGCGAATTTACAGTATTCAGTTTCTGCTGTAGGAAGAGAGCAAGGCTTCCCTGTACCCGTGCGTTCTCTGGAAACAAGCCTGTATTGGGCCCTGCACGGCCACCCCCACCCACCCCCCAGAAGAGGCAAAACTCCCACCTACCTAAAGTGTCTGCTTCCCTTTTTTGTCCAATCTTTGTTTTTATAAGCAAGACCTCCCCAGCTTTTTTTTTTTTATGATCTTTGTAGTTGATTTGTCTGAACTGTGGCTGTTGTGCATTCTTTGAATAATCACTTGTAAAAAAATTTGTCGCTGCTTCAAGCTATTTCCTTTACTCACGTTGAAGGGATTTTGCTTGCTTTTGGGGTCTCGGTAGTGACTTCCAAGAGCAGAGTGGAGAAGAGCCCAAGCGTAGACTTGGGGGCCACGATGGGTGCAGTCAGTTTTATGATTCTGCTTTTATGTGTCCTTTGGTATAAGTGACTAACAATATACATTCCTCATAAATAAATAAAAAAAAAAGAATCTGAATTTTTAGAAAGCCTCGAGTCTTGTTTCCTGGGGGACGAGAAAGTGGGGAATGGTGGGAGCTGTGGTCCTGGGATTTCCAGCAACAGCACTAGCTGGGAGTGACTCAGAACCTGGGGCGCGGGTCCCCCTTAGCCAGCAGAGAGGAGCCATCTCAGAGGTGAGCTTTTGTCTGGTGCGGTGGGTGCCTCAGACAGCCTTTACTTACATCCCCAGTTCCATACCCCCACCTTCCCCAGCAGAGCCCTCCATCAAGTATCTTGTCCCCAAACACGCTGTGTGAGATTTCAAGGCCCAGAGTAGGAAAGTGTCCCTTAAGACAGCATCACAGACCACAGACCAACTCCAGCCCTCCACCCACAACTGTTTGCCTGCAGGGAGGTCCAGGTTGCAGCCTAGACAGACCTGACTTGGCTACTGTCTTGGGAGACAGGCCATTTTCTTTTTACTTAATAGATGGCAGCTAGAATATTTCTCTGTCTTGATTTCAAAGAGGAAACTCCATTTTCCATGTTGCCGTTGGGTCAGGATGTCTACAAGTCTCTTTGACCTTGTAAAACTATGATACCAGAGGATAGGAAATACCTGACTGAGGCCTCCTAAATCACAGTGAAACCTCCTTCTTCAACTGTACAGATGGAACAACAGGCCAGGAGGGCCAGCGACATGTTTTGGGGCACATTAAACTAGGGCCAGAACTCTGCACGGGTGTCACTCACGATCTGTTGAAACAGTCGGACGAGCTGAACAGATTCTACAGACAGTGAAGGACAGTGTCTCTGCCTACTGTGAGGCCTAGAGCCTCGACAGCTGTCCTCTGTTCTCAGGCATCTGGTCCCACCTAGAGGGAGATGTTTCCAGGCCTTTTAGAAAACGAACCATTTTCTTCATACCTAAGGTGAGTGCAGGATATAGGACTGTCCCCCCAGCTCCCAGTTCCAGGTAGGCTGGAAGGCAAGGCTGCCCCCCGGGAACATGAGGGATTTCCTGCAGCATTTTGGTTGTTACTCACCCGGCATTTCATCTCGGCCCACCATTTAATACGGCTTCCAGGATGTGGGCGGGCCCGGGTCAAACCCATGTTCCAGGAGCAGATGTGCCTTCCACGCAGCCATATCTATCGCCAGGAGACCGGGCCTCACCTCTGCCCTGTTTTCCAGGGCCCCTTTTTCACAAAGGGCCTCCCCAGGAGCTATTTCTGGGCTCTGTCTACTCCAGGCCAAGCCTTATCTTTTCCATCTGATGAATGGACTTGTCGAGCCACCCATCACAATCACTGGTTACCACTGACCTTTTCTTTAGATTTTTTAATGTCTTTAACCTCTCATGGATCCAGTTCCCCCAGTATTCTCCCTTTTCCCCATATTCACCAACCCTGACCCGTGAGGATCTCCCCACCCCCACTCTCAAGGATTACAGAGAGAGAAGACATCTTTGGAAACAACTTTATGAGAATCTTGAGTTCTATTGAGTCTGGCCTGGAGTGGGCTAGACCAGTGCAAGTATTCCAGGAGCAGATGGGGTGGCCAAGGCCAGTGTGGGGAAAGACGGGGACACAGCAGGTGGGTGAGGTGTCCTAATGATTCCTAGACCAACAGTCCCGTAGAAACCACGTGACTGTCAAACTGACCTCTGAGACTTGTTGGGATGAATATTGAAAGGTGGCTGTTTGTTCTCTGTCTAGTCTTGAGTGGCCGACTGGCCAGCATGAGTTGGCTTGTGAGGGATGCTGTGACGCCAGCCCAACTCTACCTATAAGCAGAAGGTGACAACTGGAACTGAGTTGGGACGGGATTCAGAGAAGACCCTGATGCCCTTCACTTCCCTCCCAAGGAAGCTCTTCCAGCCTCAGAGGCCATAGGGCATAGCCTCTGGGGTCAGTGTGGGATTTCAGGCCAGCACTACTTACCAGCTATTTCTTGTTCTCCTGGGCCTCATTTTTCTTCTGTCAACAGGGGCCCCTTCCCTGCAGGGTTGTTGTGAGGAGTAAAAACAAGCCATCTGAAGCAGCTGGCCCAGAGCAGGCCACTGGTGCCCGGCAGCTCCCACTGGGGGCAGGAGGAGACGCAGGACAGGAGACGAAGCTGCACGCCCTCCCTCTTTCCTTGGGGGGAAACGGCCCGCCCTTCCTGCACAGCCAGCCTTCCACCACAGAAATGCCAGCTGGGGGCTGCCCGTGTCTTATTTGCTTTTAAATCTGCAATAACTCGGGACCAGCTGTTCCAGTATTAGACTCTCACTGCCAGAAGACTGCCTTCCTCCTGCTGCAGTGCCAGTCATCACAAGCAGAGAGTTTTTCATGCCTTCTTTTCAGATGAAAGATGGTTCTCAGATGGCCTGTGGCCTTCCCGTCTCTGATGGAGACACTCAACTGTTTGCTCGCTGCCGTCTCCCAAGTCCAGCTTGCTTGGGTTTCCATCCAGTATCTCTCCCTCTCTCTTCATATGCAGGACCAACCCCCTCCCCCTACCCCGTCCTGACCTGGTGCTGAGCTGGGTGCCCAGTTCTCTCCAGAGATGCCCACCATGCCCCCCTTCCTCCCCCCCCCCCACCATGGAAGAGGCCAAGAGGCGTCCCCAACACCACCAAGAGGAGAGAGGACCCATGAGTGGAGGAGACTGGTTCTCCCAAGCTTCTCAATACGCTGAGGGCTCAAAGCCTGTACTGACAGGTGGTAACACTTCGCCTGAGCCCTCTTCCCTCCACCTCTGTCCCCACGGGCAGTCCCCAAGGGCCTGCACCCAGAGATGGAGGAATGGTACAGCCCCAGGGAACCTGCCTGGCTAAGCCTTGCTTCTATACATTGATCCTTCACACCCTTGCTGCGGTCCTCAGTCAGCTGTCACCCTCAAGTCACAGATGAGGATGAACAAGTTCAGAGTTCAGAGCTTGTACGAGGTCAGGCAGCAGACAACCTCCGGGCCTGCACTTCCCTGTGTGTCGGTGGGGTTCATGGTGAGGAGTTGGACAAGCCACTCTCTAGCAGCCCCTCTGGCACCGTTGAGTAATTTCCTTGGACAAAAGCCACTTGCGGCAAGTACTGGAAGCAAGTCCAGCCAGGACAGCAGCTGATGGGGCCTCCCCAGCAGCCCTGCCCTGGCAAGGAGCCCGGGAGAGCTGGGCAGGAAGGCCTCAGGTCAGCACCTTCCCCTTCAGAGGGAGAGTTCCTTTTCAATAGTTGTTTCAGATTCTAGGATGTTTCCTCAGGGCTGTGAATTTAAGGTGGGTCCAGGGATAATGCAGGCAACTGTCCATCTGCTGTTTTGAGAAGGGAGTCTCCGTAGTGCCGAGACATTCACCCCCCAAAAGAGATGTCTGCATGTCCATTCTGGCAGGTGGGGAGATGCACACCTCACGCAGCTGCTGGTTTAACGTCTGGATGGAGTTCCTCCACAGCCAGCATGGGACTAGATCTCCTGGGAGCCTGAGCACACACCTGTGTCAGGAGGCCAGAGCCTGAGCTCAGCCCACGAATGGGACAAATCTTTGCTGAAGAGGCTCCAGAAGGCTGTTAGGCTCACCCCAGCACCCCCTGTGTGGTATCTCTCCAGCCCCAGCTCCCCCAGACCCAGGCCCTGTTTCAGTGGGCTATTTCCTCCAGCGTAAGGGTGGGTCTGGGAGGAAGACTGACATGACAGGTGGCTGAGCCCATGCCCACCAGCTCTGCCTGCCTCTCAGACGACCCCCCAAGCATCTACTCTACACCAGGGGTAGTGCTGGGCTTTTTCACAGACATCATGCCTTCCTCAAAGCAACTCCATGAAGAGGGGCTTACTAGCCCCAATTTATAGATGAGGAAACTGAGGCCTAGCCAGACTTGCTCAGGATGGCTGAGAGTAAGTGGTAGGGCACCCAGACTCTGCACTTACACTGCGTCTCCCCACCTCGGTGCCTGCAGAAGCAGGCGTCCAGCTGGACTCCAGAGAAGAGCATGGTGTGTCAGGCAGGTGCTTTAGATGACCTTGGCAGACAGACCTCTCTGTGACCTGCTGGCTGAGCACTGAGCCCATGTTGGGACCACAGATCAGAGCTGGTCATGTGATGGGGGCTGGGCCTGATGATCCCTTAAGAGGTCTGTTTCCCTGGCTCATAGGCCAGGGGAGCCCCTGGGAGAAGCGTCAGGATACAGCCTCCAGGGCATGCTCTCTGCAGTCCGCTGTGCAGACTTGTCCTTCCCAAGTTCTGCAGCAGCCTAGCTCAGGTTTGGTTGGGAGGAGGAAGGGGAGGAGCCAGAGCAGGAAGGATGGAGCCAGGAAAGAAGGACGGGAGCAGGAGCCGTGCTGATGTGGCAGAGCTCTGGCCATTCACACCCCGCTTGGCTGGCCTCCACAGCCAGCCCTCTCCTGCCCAGCCTGCTCTGCCGCGGGCAAAAGGGCTGGGTCTGCTGAAAGCTAACATCCTTAGTTTACTTACTCCAGCAAGCAGTCCGTTCAAATTGCAGGCGAGGTAGGGGGTGGGGAGGAGGGAGAGGAACAGCCTGTGAACCTGAACTCAAACAGTTTGAGAATTTAGCCTTTACGCTCCAAGTAGGTCACCCAAAGACTGGAAACTCAGAAGCGCCCCTAATACCAAACCTTGCTCCCACGCCCTGGCCTGAATAAGAAAGGAAGTCTAGGGAGAATCCTTCACTGGGAGAAGGGGACCTGGGGCTGAGCACTGGGCTGCATAGAAATGAGGGG